TCTCAAAAATGGCTTCAACCTTGTGAGGACAGCCACTTTTGTCCTCACGTTACTGTTGGTCCCCACAACTATAGCAACACTCCAATTTTTGGTCCTCACAAAGATGTCTAAACAGGTACACACACACATACACAGGTATATCACACTCACCAGCTACTTTGTTAGGTACACCTGCTCATTGCAGCAACTCAGTACATTTAGGCATGTAGATATTAAGACAACCTGATGACATTCAAAACGTGCATCAGCACAGGGAAGAAGGATGATTCAAGTGACGTTGAATGTGGTGTGGTGGGTGGTGCCAGACAGAGTGGTCTGAGTATTTTAGAAACTGCTAATCTGCTGAGATGTTCTTGCACAACTCTAAGGTTTGCCGAGAATAAAAAAGAGAGGTCAGGGGAGAATGGGTGGACTGCTTTGAGCTTAGAGTGGGCAACAGTTACTCAAACAACCAAGGTATGGAGAAGAGCATAACTGAATGCATCAAACCTTGGAGCAGATGGGCTTCAGCAGCAGAAGACCATGGTGGGTGCCACTCCTATCAAGCAAAGAACGGAAAACTGAGGCTACAATTTCCATGTACTCAGCAGAAAATCTTGGTTTCTGCTACAACATTTTGGTCATAGGGTCAGAAATGGCATAAACAACATGATAGCAGGGATCCATCCTGCCTTGTATCAATGATTCAGTCCGCTGATGGTGGTGTAATGGAGTGCAGATGATTTTCTCGGCACACTTTGAGCATCATTTAAGCAACACAGACTATCTGAGTGCTGTTACTGACCATAATCATTCTTTTATGACCACAGTGTGCTCATCTTCTGATGCCCTAATTCCAGCAGGATAACACACCATGTCATAAAACTCAAATCATCACAAACTGGTTTCTTGAACATTGACATCAACTTCACTGTACTCAAATGACCTCCACAGTCACCATATCTCAGTCCAATATAGCACCTTTGGGATGTGGTGGAATGGAAAAAGTCATATCATGGATGTGACAAATCTGCAGCCACTGTGTGATGCTATCATGTCAATATGAAGCAAAATCTCTGAGGAATGTTTACAGCACCTTGTTGAGTCTGTGCCATGATGGACTAAGGTAGTTCAGAAGGCAAAAGAGGGTCCAACCCAGTGCTAGCAAGGTGTACCTAACAATAATGTTTTCTGTAATCATGGAAATATAAAGAAACAGAACATTAAGTTGTTCTGCATACAGCCAGTTGAGGGCAGTCTAGTCCACTCTGGGGTCCAATAGCACAACAAATCTATTTCTCTGCTGGACAGTTTACCTTTGTTTAGCATTAGCTTCTAGCTACATGGCCTAACAGTGAATCAGTGATTACTGATGATTTCAAATATTGTCATATCTATGCAATGTTATGCAATAAACATATCAATATGACCTTTTTTTAAAATATTTAATATTTATATATTTGTCACAAATAAAAGATCCTGCAAAAGGTTTAAACAAAGTACTCAGTTGCAAAAGGAAAATAAGAAAAAAGAAATAGACACAGTGGGTGTATTACAGTCTTGGTGTTACAATAACGAGGCTCTTTTAAATGTGTAAATGTAATTCTTTCAGCCAGAAGAGATGGAGGTTATTTTTACAGTACAGTTCATGAAATCTGTAAAATATATAGAATCTCTACCTGTCAAATAAATGTAATTGTGTAAAGTCAACATACTGAGTAAAGGCTTCGCCTCTGAATTCTACTAAATTCATGCATAAGAAGGAAACAATGTGAGCACGTACACTGTGTACTTTATGTCTGCACTCAGTTAAATGTACTTAAGCTTAATTCCATGAATGTATTTAGGTAATTCACTACAGTTTAAATGATTTGTGTCATTTCTAAGTTGTTTTCTCTTTTCTCCACAGCTGGAAAAAGATCAAAAAGTTAAACAAGAAGAACCAGAGTTCATCCAAGTCAAAGAGAGACTGAGGAAGACTGCAGTGCCCTGTGCAAGGGCAAAAGAAGTGTGACCGTTTTATAACTACGTGTGTGTTTTGTATTCACAGTCGGTGCAATTGACTGTTGGGAATAACTGACCTGGTGAAGGATTCTTCTGCTATAAATAGAATAGATAGATAATACAGCTCAATGCTCATGATCGAGGCGACACCTTCTGGTCAAGTGGAGACACGTCATCACTGTGAATAGTGTATTTTGTGTTTCTTTTGTTTTTCTTCTCAATACTTTGGTTAAATGTGACTTAGAGCAAAATGTTCAGTAGAAAAAGAAAACTATAAAAAATTGTATTGTATACAGACATTGTTGATTCTTTTTTCTCCAGTGGCACAATTTATTAGGTGTTTATTTTGTCCATTTAATCCATAATAAAACATTTTTTACATGCTTTCTATCTACATTCTTACTGTGTTCAGAATTTTTGACATTCATATTATTAGCTGGCAGAAGAACCTCATACCATACATACCGTATACTAGACAAGCAAACATGTACATTTGTGATTAATGTTACCACTGACAATTACTCTAGATCTGTAGATATGAAATATACTTTAAATACTTTGTAATCAAACGAATTTGATCGCGGTTGTTTTAAAAGTTGTAATTTTGTAGTACTGAGATTGGTGAGTTAAGAAGCGCCGCATTTAAAAAAGTGAATGCATTGCCTTTTGCAGACTATTTGGAATCAGCGCACTTTACATTTCTACAGTTTCACCTGAAATCTTTCACAAACCTGGTTATTATATTATGACAGAACACACAATGCATAGACAAGGAAGTTTTATTTCAGTTTCAGCAATCATATCTCTGTGGGTACAAATCTTATTTTCTTACATCTTGTTCAATAACCCATGATGCATTGCATCCATACATTTGTAGCTCAAAACAGCTTTTACAAAAAAGGATATACAATATATACTTATATTTATATTTATATATATAATATACACGTGTTTCTTTATGAATTTAGATGTGTTTGTAATGGGTAATATAAGCTTTAAAAAAAAACACAGCCAAGTGGAAACAAATCCCAGGAAAGGTTGAACAGAAGGTCATTACCAAACATGTAATAGCCAGTTTCTCAAAGTCATCAACACTGGCTATCTTACAGTTAACATTAAGCCCTTCAAACACAGTTTGCATATTTTCCACAATTACAGTCATGTAAATCCAGAGTGATAGCCTTCTTTTACTGTACTATATGTATCAATAACAAAATGAGGGAAAATAATAATATCAGTGGGGGAAATAAACAGGTTTAAATTCAACTAAAGTGGACTGTTTGCGTACTAACGTAACAATACACAACAAGTGTCGGGATTTAAGTAATTCTAGCAAGCTGTTGGAGGGAAAATGCTTTGTCACACTCCTTTTCTGTTTTTAATCTCTCGAAGGCCGTCCTTCACCTGAGTCATACATTTAAAAAACGATGACATGCTTGATCTGTATCTTTAGTAAAGCATTCCAATTTCCCTTTATGGCTTTAGTACTTTGGGCCTTTTGCTCTGGAGGAACAAAGCTTGTACACTGGCAGACAGGTGATGCACACAGTGGCACTGATGTGTTTTTTTCCCATCACTGTCTAGATATCAGCTAGTAATGATTTGTTGGAGAGATTCAACATAAGTAATAAAAGCAAAAAAAAACAAAAAACAGAACGATTAAAAGAGATTCCAGATGGAAATAAACATAGTACAGGAGAATTGTCACTCAGGTAGAGACTTGACCATCACAGTCAATGCAAATGATAAGTCCACTGTGCTGTGTTGTATTCTGTTAACAACATTACTTCTGGTGTTACTCACTTCACATTATATATCTCAAAATTACAGTATTACATCTTTTTTTTTTTCAGTACAACAGAGTAATAATAATCATGTGTGTTTATACTAATTGATCATCATTCATGTAAACATATTGAACCAGGTCATGCAAACAGTAGACCAAAACTTCTTCCACTAGAGGTGCACAGCACAAAGCAGGCGGAGCGCGCAGACTGAGATCCCTCCGACTCAACAGGAGCCAGACCTCGAGACTGACAGCCGGCGGACATTTAGACACTTTGTCAGAAACAGAACAGGGAGGATGAACATGATATGGTTATGTTTGTTTTCTTCCCACTTGTTGTGGATTCTCTGTATGCTTTTTCTAACATGACGAGCGCCAATGGAGGAAGGTGAGATTACTGTGATTTCCAGACTTTTGGGGATCTCAGTTTGAGCCTCAGATAACAGAACAGCCATAAAACAAACAAACAAACAAAGAAAAAAAACAAACAAAGAAGTCTCCTTTTGATATTCGTACATTTCAGTGTTTTTCCTAACAAAAAGCATGCAGACACTTCAGGTCAGAATGACCCTTCACAAACCCAGTCTGAGCCAGAATATAGAGTCCATAACCCCAGAATCACCTCTCACTTTCAATTATCTCCTTTGAAAATAGGCTTTAAACAAAAGAAGTGAATACTTATTTTTTTTTTAAAAAAGACAGAAACACTAAATAGTGACAATATGAGGGGAAAAAGGGTTAACCAAACAGAAATAGATAGGCAGGTGAAATCAGCAGTGAAGACACAGCTTGAGATTTAACTAAACAGCTACTTGGTCGATGACTAGACTGAGTCATATTGATGGGTGAAGAGTATAAAGACATGCAGAAGGAGTTTTCAGTACTCTTTTCATTAGCTTTTTCCCCCCCTGTCTGGCCAGATTTTTGGAGAAGGCTGCGAGAAATGTCTAGCATGTGGTCCAGATGGACGCCCATTGTAACTGCAATTAGAGGTACTGCAGATGACAGATAATATAAGAGATACGTAATCAAAGAGAATACCTTTATCTCATCACAGATTAAAACTCTAGGCCCTTCCTGAAGCTAACCACTTATAGTACTAGCAAAATGTCAATGGCCACATTCACCTAGAATTTTTCAACAGCGTGCTTTAATGGTGGTGGTGGTGGAGGAGTATTGGCGGAGGGTTTCTGGACCAACATATTGCAAGATCCTTTAAAAGAGCCATGCCTACTTGAAGCAGCTTTGTTTACCATTAATGCAATGCAGTTAAAACTTGTAAATCTTCACTCATGAAGTTTTTTCTTTTTTGAAAATTATTATTTATCTTTTCTTTTTCTTTTTTTTCCCCAGGCAAAGGAAATGTATGTTTTGTCTGCACTGTAACAGTGACCTGCTGGCTGTGGATGTACTCTGGTGGACCGTGCCTGATAGCTGCTCTGCATTCCTGGCCAGACTGGGCGGGTCGGCGGGTCAGCGGGTCGGCGGGCTCTGGGCGCTCCAGGGATTCGATGTGACATGACAACACTATTAGGTTGTGCTCAGATCCGACTAGTTGGCCTGCAGCAGTAGGTGCAGCTTCTCAGGCTGTCCCGATCCGTGCTGCCCTCATTGCTTCCACGACGGCCATCCTCGTAGTTAGACACTGGATGTTAGAGCAGAGAACGGATTATTCTGGGGTCTGAGATTATCCATGGTTGGTGTAAGAGCTAGAGTCTGTTCAAAGTTGTAAATTGGCCTAATCCAGCTAGCTCTTCCTCCTAATTCAACACCCACATCATATAGGGCTGATGATAGAAATGGGCAAGATTTCCAATTGTACCAGATTCACATCTCATGACAAATCCATGTGGTTGTATGACTGAAAACCTTACCGCAAACATCATAAATTATTGTGAACTTATATTTTAGGGCTATCCTAAATAAGGAAGAAATTTTGTCTAAAATAAAATAGTTTGTTTTTGGTTTAATTGCAGCTGATAATTACAGTAACTATGATATTATTATATACATATTAAACTCATGAAAATTCACACAATTTCTAAAAACGTACACCTTGAATCACCTAAATTTTTATCTGGGAAAAAATTAAATTGCATATGTTCATTCACTGTGAACTGCTAACTTACAGCTCTCCTCCTCGCCATTCCCCAAATCGTCATCCTCCTCCTCCTCTTCCTCTGGGAGCAGATGTCCATGGCAGGGGCTGGTGGGAGTAATCTGACTGGGTCCCTCGAGACTAGTGCCCAGCTGCAACTTCCGCATGTGGCGCACCACTGCTGTGGCATTAAATGCTTGCTACATGGAGAGAGGAAAGAGTGGAAGGGGGAAAAATAGTAAGAACCTTCTGTGTCTGACAGCTACTGAGGGAGGAAAACAGTTAAGCTGTACAAAATGAAACTCCTGGCAATCTTAATACACCTCTTCCCACAGGGTGCTGCGTGATTCAGCCGAGGAACTGACCTTCCATTTACTTTTGGCAAAGTTCTTCTTGATTTGTGCGCTGACAGATTCGTGGATATTCTTATCCAGAGCTGTGTCACCACATATCCTGAAAGTCACCATGAATTGGAGAAATTACTGGAATTTTAGGCACATGACTGAGACATCATATTGTAAACGATTAGCATCATTCATCATCATTAGCATCGTGGCTAAGCATTACTTCACTGAAGAATAAGCCAATCTGTACGACACTGATCTGCTGATCTGCAATGTAGAAATGTTTCTTTGGGCTTTTCCCAAACATCTGACAATGCACAATCAAAGAGATGAGTCAGCTAAAGCAATCAGTTATATGCACACTGACAGTAAGAAAAAACAATAAACAATATCGCAGTCAATAACTGATTGATTTTTGCATCTTGCGATATTAAAGAAGCCGAAATGTCACCCTTGAGAAACCAGAAAAATTTAAAAAATAAAATATAACAAATATATAAATAAAAACTTGAAAACATTTTCACACTGCTGCTTATGACATTGTAGCAGCTGCATATAGATCTAGTATTTTAGCTTTCCTACCATGGATGCTGGAGCGCCTGCTCACATGTGTATCTTTTCAAAGGGTCTTTTTCCATCAGGTGACAGATGAAGTCTTTGGCTGCCAACAAAATTTAAGTTCATGTAAAAATAATAATCTCATTAGTTGTTATTTATGTATTTTTTTTAATCTGTATTTGTAGTAGACATTTCATGGTTACCTGAATCTGAGATGTCATCCCAGTATGGAGAGTCAAATTCATATTCTGCTTTCAGAATCTGCTCAAACAACTTGGCGTCATTCTCATCGTAAAACGGAGGATAGCCACATAAGCTGTAGAAACGACATTTTATTTTTATTTAATGCAAGAACCCACCCCCCCTTCCTCCCAAAACGCTCTCTATACTTCTCAGGGATAAATAAACTGCAACTTACAGAATATAAGAAATTACTCCTATGGACCAGCAATCCACTGCTTTACTGTATGGCTTCTGAGCGAGCACCTCAGGAGCTGCAGTCAACATTCACAGAGTGAGAAAGTATAGAGACAGAGCAGCGGTGAGGTTGAATTCAAGTAATCTTGACCTTTCAGTAATACTATGTGATCTGCCAGGT